GGACAGGAAGGAATATTTCGGACCAGATTTGTTTGGGACCCGCAGGGACCGGAACGATTTTGAACAGCCGAAGAGCCAGGAGGCACCAGGAGAGGAGAAAGGCTTGGGACGGAGAAGGAAAGGGAGGGACGATGGGGAGGACGGGGAAGGAACGGGCAGGACGACAGAGAAGTCGGAAGCCAGGCTGCGCATAGGCATGCGGATAAGGTGCGAGCGGGCAAGGATCCGACGAGGAGCCGCCCCCCCTTCCTCCCCCTCTCAGTGGTGGCAACTCTCTTCCTGCTTCTCCTCCTCCTCCTCCTCCTCCTCCTCCTCCTCCTCCTCCTCCTCCTCCTCCCTAGGGACGTTGTCCTGGGGGGAAAGTCAGGGAAAGTCCTCCTCCTCCTCCTCCTCCCTCGTCCCCCCTACTCAGCTTCCTCCCTTCTCCTCCCATTTCTAAGCCCTTCCACCACTTCCTTTCCTTTCCTTTCCTTTCCTCCCCCTCCTCCCGGGAGGAGGAGGATGATGAGGATGAGGATGAGGATGAGGATGAGGATGAGGATGAGGATGATGATGATGATGATGATGATGGTGATGATGATGATGATGATGATGATGATGATGATGATGATGATGATGATGATGATGATGATGATGGTGGTGGTGATGATGATGAGGAGGAGGAGGCGTCTACAAACCAGGACATCGGCATGCCCAGTAAACCTGCTGCCTTGGGTCGCCCTCTCCCGCTGCATCCTGGATCTATCGAAAGTCCTGGTTGCTACGGCGCTGACGCTTCGATCCTTCGGGTGTTGCTAGCAGCGTTCCTGGCCCCAAGTGTCCCCAGGACTTCCGAGGAGGGTCCGCTGCTCCCAGAGCACCCCATCACGAGACCCAGGCATCTCGGGCCTCATCACCCCAGCAAAGAACCCTCGTAGCAGCCAAGGTGAAGAGGCGGGTCGAGGAGTTGGAGACCAGCTATAGGGGACAGGGTTCAGAGCACGGCCATGTGCACCTCAATATTTCGCAACCCTCCTGCGTTGGGTGTCCGTTTCTGACAGAGTGCCGCGGTCACGAGCTCCCTTCCTCCCGCCTCCCTCCTCCCTTCCCCCGTCTTACCTGCCTGCTGACCTGCCTCCTACCTGCTATCTGCCCTGCCTCCTACTTGCCCGCTACCCTGCCTTCTCGCCATCCATGGGGGGCTGCGAACTGCGAAACCGTCGCCACCTTCGAGTGACCTCGCCATCCTTGGGGGGCTGCGAGCTGCGAAGGTGACACCACTTTCGAAGGCCGCGGGGGTCCAGCTAAGCGACGTCACACGCGGATTCAGACTCGACCTCGCCATCGCTGGGGGCTGCGGAATGCGAAACTGTCGCCACTTTCGACGGCTGATGGGAGCCAGCGGAGTGACGACAGACGCAACTTCAGATTAGACTTCGCCATCGCCATCGCTTGGAGGGGCTGCGGAATGCGAACCTGTCGCCATATTCGAGCACCGCTGGGGGGTCCAGCGGAGTGACGCCATACGCAGATTCTGACTAGACCTCGCCATCCCCTGGTGAGCTGTGAGCTGCGAGATTGTCGCCGTTTTCGAGCACTCGTCAGGGGTCCGCAATCCATCGGGGTGACGTCACACGTAGATTCAGATTCGACCTCGCCATCTCTGGGGGGCTGCGAACTGCGAAACTGTCGCCATTTTCGAGGGATGCTGGGGTTCCAGTGGACTGACGTCATATTCAACGGGGGGGGCTGCGAACTGCGAAAGTGACGCCGCTTTCGAGGGCTGCTGGGGTCCAGTGGGGTGACGTCATACGCAGATTCAGATTGGACCTCGCCATCCCTGCGGGGACGGCTGCGAACTGAGAAGCCGTCGCCACTTTCGAAGGCCGCTGGGGGGTCCGGCGGAGTGACGTCATACGCATCTTGAAGTTACACCTCACCATCCCTCTGGGGCTGCGGTCTGCGAAGCAGTCGCCGCTTTCGAGGATTGCTGGGGGACCCAGAGGAATGACGTCATACGCAGATTCAGATTCGACCTCGTCAACGCTGGGTGGCTGCGAACTGCGAAAGTGTTGCCGCTTTCGACGGCCGCTGAGGGTCCAGCGGGGTGATGTCATACGCAGAATCGGACTCGACCTCGCCATCTCTGAGGGGCTGCGAACTGCAAAGAACTCGCCACGTTCGAGGGCTGCTGGGGGGTTCATCACCATAGTAACGTCCTACGAAGACGCAGATCAGACCTGGCCATCCCTGAGGGGCTGTGAACTGCGAAACGTTTGCCACTTTCGAAGGCTGCTGTGGGGTCCAGGACAGTAGCGTGCTACGCAGAACCAGATTGGACCTCAGCATCCCTGGGGGCTGCGAATTGCGAAACCGTCGCCGCTTTCGAGGGCTGCTGGGTGGTCGAACGGTGTGACGTCCTCCGCAAATGCATACTCACCTCCACCATCCCTGGGGGGATGCGAATTGCGAAGCCGTCGCCAGTTTCGAGGGCTGCTGGGTGGGCCCAGCGGAATGACGTCCTTCGCAGATTCAAATCATTCCTGACCATCCCGGGGGGGCTGCGGATTGCGAATCCGTCGCCACTTTCAAGGGCGGCTGGAGGGTCCAACATAGCGACGTCCTACGCATATTCGGTTCAGCCTTGATTTCGTTTCCCGCGGGCGGTTCGTAAACCTGGCGGCGCGCCTGCGGAGAAACTCGCGGGTGAATTCGGCCACGCTCGCTCCTTGCCCTAGCTGTGCACAGTTGGTCCTCGGCAGCGCCAGAGCCGCATGGCGCAGGTCGCGTTGCTTGCTCAGCGGGCCCCCAGAAGATGATCGCCACCGTCCTGCCTCATCCTACTTCTCTCGTTGTCGTCCTCTTCCTCGGCCCCTCGTCCGTCCTTCTCCTGCCCCTCGCTCCCACCCCCGATTTCCTCTGCGAGCCTGATGCCCCAGTCCTCGTCATCCCTCTGCTGCTGTCCTGTGAGTCGTGCAACGCGCGCGCTTCCCATATAGTGAAGGGGCCCTGGGACACACACATCAATCCACACAAATAAAAAGGATCCCCAATGTTTTTCCATATTTTCTGGGTTTCTGTCTTCCCCCCCATTGCCCATATTTTCCCATATTTTCTGGAGAATCGACGATTCATTGTGTCTGTGTGGTTTTTCTCCTCTTGATATAGGTTGCACAACCGATAACAGATCCTGTGCGGTTCTCGGCCGTGCTACTCAGGACCAACTCGTCTTTTCACTCGAGTGATGCACATGGGTTCGGTACGTCGCGACATCTTTCATCATGCGGGACCGTGGCCGTCCGGACCAGAAACGTACAGTCGGGGCGTTGACCTAAGGAACCCTAAATGAGGAACGAGGCCCCTCCTCTCCCATAAGTTAAACTTCGATTCCCCATCGAAGACCTTGGGAAAACCTGAGGCAAGCTGTGAAACAATCAAGGAACACGAAGCCCCTCCCCAACGAACAGGGTTCCTTCTTCAAGACCCCTACTGTAGCCGACATCGGGGCGAGATCCCGCTTCCCGCACACACTGCGAGGAGGTCTGAGGCGAGGCGGCTGCCGGACCAAACGATCCAGGGCTCCCCGTCCCCCGTGGGACTGAGGAGGAGGAGGAGGAGGAGGAGGAGGAGGAGGAGGAGGAGGGGGGGGAGGAGGAAGAGGAGGAGGAGGTGGAGGAGTAGGAGGCGGAGGGAAAGGGGGAGGGAGGAGGACTGTGGTCCTCTTGTACCTCCCTGAGAGTCCTTTGTAGCGAAGCGCTGTTCGGGAAGAGTGGCACGAGACGCTGCGGACATCCCGGGCCAGGGACGCCCACAGCAGCTGGCTGTGTGCTCGAGGGCTGTGTGCTCGAGGACCCCTACCTGGCGGTCAGAAAAAGTGGGTGGAGACATGAAACAGAAGGCGTTGGAAGCTGACCCGTTTTCCACCCGCCCCCTGAAGTAGGAGAAGAGAAACGCCACAGACGTAAACTTTTGGCGCGCTGCGCGGATTTCTTGGATTCGCGCTGGTCCCTCGCCAGGGACGGCGCCGGAGGCGCCGCCGGGGAGGCTCAGCGCGGATCCACGAAATCCGCGCGGAGCGCCACAAGTTTATGTCAATGGCGCTTCTTCCTTCGATGAAAAGGAGGGAAGAGGGCCGCCCGAATCTTGAAGTGGAGAGGAGCCTAAAGCAGAGTGGGGCCGGGGAGTCCGAATAATACAAACTTTCAACGGCTGGTGCGTGTGTGTGTGTGTGCGTGCGTGTGTGATCAAGACGCACGACTGCGCATGTTGCACATACGCCGCCAAGCGTCCGCCGCTGTACTGGTGATCCTTAGCCTCGTCTGCATCGCAGGGCGGGGGAGGGGTGCCGGGAGTGGGCATACCACTCCTTGACAAAAACCATGCCCCGACTTGCGGCCGCTGCGCTCGCAGCGGCGACCTCCCAAACCGACCCGGAGGCTTGCTTCGGGGCCGGACGTCATGCAACGGGCCGCCCCCCCGATGCTGGCGATGTGCCCCAACCCCCGACTTCGTGATCGTTTCGCAATGTCGACCCCCAGAGGTCTTCCGACCCATTCCTTGGGACCGAGCGAGGAGGTCTGGGGTCGGAGGTCTGGGGATGGGTTCGTCGCAGGTGATTCCCCCCCTAAGAAGAGGAGGAGGACGATGACGATGACGATGATGATGATGATGATGATGATGATGATGATGATGATGATGATGATGATGATGATGATGATGATGATGATGATGATGATGATGATGAGATGATGAGGAGAGGAGGAGAAGGGGAGGGGGAGGAGGAGGAGGAGGAGGAGGAGGAGGAGGAGGAGGAGAGGGAGGAGGCAGGAGGAGGAGGGGAGGAGGAGGAGAAGGAGGAGGAGGAGGAGCAGGAGGAGGAGCTGAGGAGCTGAGTAATTAGCTGAGGAAGTCTGGGGCTGGACGTCTGGGCCGTGGTTGCAGCCGTCTCTGGCCCGCGAGGGGGGCGGCCCCGCGGCGCGGCCGCGGCGCGGCCGCGGCGCGGCCGCACCGCCCGCTGGGGCCTCCAGATGGCGCGGTCCTGCTGGCGACGGTGCCCCGGGGCGCGCCCGCGGCGCCAGGGGCGCGCTCCATGGTGCGGCGGCCACCTCCTGGCGGAAGAGGAGGAGGAGGAGGAGGAGGAGGAGGAGGAGGAGGAGAGGAGGAGGGGAGGAGTGAGGAGGAGGAGGGAAGGAGGAGGAGGAGGAGGAGGAGGAGGAGGAGGCAGGAGGAGGAGGAGGAGGAGGAGGAGGAGGAGGAGGGGGAGGAGGAGGAGGAGGAGGAGGAGGAGGAGGAGGAGGGAGGGGAGAAGGCGGAGGAGGAGGAGGAGGAGGAGGAGGAGGAGGAGGAGGAGGAGGGAGGAGAGGAGGAGGAGGAGGAGGAGGAGGGAGGAGGAGGAGGAGGAGGGGAGGATGGAGGAGGAGGAGGAGGGGAGGGGGAGGAGGTAGGAGGAGGAGGAGGAGGAGGAGGAGGAGGAGGAGGAGGCGGAGGAGGAGGAGGAGGAGGAGGATGAGGAGGGAGGAGGAGGAGGAGGAGGAGGAGGAGGAGGAGGAGGAGGAGGAGGAGGGATGAGGAGGAGGAGGCGGAGGAGGAGAGAGGAGGAGGGGGAGGAGGAGGAGGAGGAAGGAGGAGGAGAGGAGGAGGAGGAGAAGGAGGAGGAGGGGAGGGGAGCAGGAGGAGGAGGAGGAGGAGGAGGAGGAGGAGAGGAGGAAGAGGAGGAGGAGGAGGAAGAGGAGGAGGAGGAGGAGGATGAGGAGGAGGAGGGGGAGGGGCGCGCTCCATCGTGCGGCGGCCGCGGCACGGCCTCGCCAGGCCTGGGGAGCGTCAAAAAACGACTCAGGACGAAAAGCTGGTCCCGGGAAAAGGGTCGGGCCCGGACTTCCAGGGACCCCGCACTGAAGTAATCAGGACGTCGCATGTCTGGGAGAGTGACTTGTGCGCGGCCTCAGAGTGCCGATCACGCGAGGCGAAGGTATGCAGAACATCCACGCCCTCGCGGTCTGGATTCTGGGGCGCGATGCCGCGGACCCAGGCATGTGCAGCTTTGAGTCCCGCACTTGTGGGTATCGTCTTCAGGGGAGCCTCCTCTGGGTCACGAAACGCTGTGCTGGGCGGAGGAGACGCATGCGGACGTTGCCACTGAAACCTTCGGTGGAACTCCCATATGAGCCACGAAACGCTGCACTGGGCGGGGGAGACGCATGCGAACCCCGCCGCCCGCCCACCGCCGACGGAACACCGACGGGACACCAACGGGACACCCTAGGACACCACGGCGGGAGGAGGCACACCGCGCAGGACACCTCAGGACACCTCAGGACACCTCAGGACACCACGGCGGGAGGAGGACACTAGCGGGACACCCCGGGCCACTGCGCGCACGCTAGGGGCGGAGGGGCGATCCACGGCCTCCGAATCGCCCGAGCGACGGCGGGGTCGGTCCTCTCGCGCGCCCACGCAGCTCCGCCCCGCCCGCACGCACGACTCGAGCGCGGAACCGAAACCGATTTCCCGATGCAGACATGCGACGCCCTGATTTTTTCAGGACGGCGTCCCTGGAAGTCGTGACCCTTTCCCCGGGAACGGCTTTTCGTCCTGAGTCGACGGTCCCGCGAGGCCCAGCGAGGGCCCCCCCGGGGCCCAACATAGCCAAAAACCTCCCGTCCTGATTTTTGTTTACGACGCGATCATGTCAGGGTCCGCTTCAGTGCGATCTCACCCCCAAACCTCCGATCTTTGAGCGTGCGTAGCGCCCCGCACTTACGGATAAGAATGAGGGGGCGGTTTGCGCGGTGGTCCGTGGGTGGGTCGCGGGGGGGGGTCGTGGGGGGGGTCGCGGGGTGGGTGGTGGGGGGGTGACGACGACCACAGCACCAACCAACATATTTGCGTCGGCGGCGAGGCAAGTGTCGTCTGCGCTAGAGGAAAAGGGTGCCGTTAGAACGAATTCTGCCACCATGCAGCATCCGGGCCACGGAACCCCGCCTCACCCGCGCACCCAGGGATCGGTGCGGCACCGCTCGGCCCCCCTCCCTCTGATCCTCCTCAGGGCGTCTGCTCAAGCAGCTGCTGCCCTTCCTGCCGCCCGGTCGACCCAGACCCTGACGTCATGATTTGTTCATGACGTCGACCCCAGAGGTCTGGACCCTTTCCCTGGGACTGGTTTTCATCCTGATCATCGCTTTCTGACGGTCCGGAGGCCCAGGAAGGGCCCCAAGTGTTGTGATGTTCCAACTTCCTTTAGCCTTGACCACCAGAAAGAATTTCGAGCACAAAGAGAGCATCGAAACTGGAGGGTTCTCACGTGTCGGGCCCTGGGAGGCGATGCTCCTTCGACACCGTTTCGATGCCTTCCATGGGCGCTCGGAACCCCTTCTGGGCTGTGGCCCTTGGATAAAGATGGGAGCTGCAGCGTCCTGGAGGCCGCAGCGATAGGAAAACCTCCCGCCGTGACTGTTGCTTCCTACAGCGCGAGTGGTTCCCAGCCTGGAACATATCCCTATCCCTGTGCTGGGCATCTCCTCACCACGATGCCAATCTCAGGGATCCCCGTCTTATTTTTGGAGGGCGCACCCCCAAGACTGGCATCGCCTCTTGGCGTGTCAGATCTTAGGGCTAGGGATGAGTTCGAGGCCGCCCCGCCCCCCCCCCGCCCCCGGAGAGGCCGCCCCGCCCCCCCCCGCCCCCCGCCGCCGACCTCCGGGCTGGCCGCCGGCCTGCCCGCACCGGGCGCGGCGCCCCCGGGGGGCGCCCCCCCCGCGCGCTGGCGGCGCGGAGGCGGGCGCGCCGCGCCGGCGGGTCGGGGGCTCGCCCCTCCCCCCCCCCGCCCCTCTTGGCGCCCGCGCTCGGGGGGGGGAGGGGGGGGGGGTCCTCCTCGCCCCCCCTGCTCGCCTCCCTCCCCCTCGCCTCCCTTCCCCTCCCCTCCCTCCCTCCCTTGTCTCCCCCCTCGCCCCTCTCCCCTCTCTCCCTCCCTTCACAATTACACAATATGAAAATACTCTCCCACTTCCCCTGAGGGCGTCCCGAAGATATCCGACACCCCCCCGCGAATTGTTTTTTACACACAGGATTCCCGGGAAACGGTTTTCGCTTGCGTTTGTTTTCAAAATGCTGCTCTCGCTGAGGCGCCGGCCTCATTTCTGCTCCCGAATCGTTCCGAATCGTGTTCCCGCTGCAGCGTGGGCCTCATTTTCGGATCGGTGTTTGGCCTCCGTCGTTCAGGATGGCGTTCTCGCCCCAGCGCGGGCCTTTTCTCGCGCGCCCATCCGCCCGCCACCACCGCGCCGCACCACCACCACCACCACCACCACCACCACCAGCACCACCACCACCACCAGCACCACCACACCACCACCACACCAGCACCACCACCACACACCACACCACCACACACCACCACCACCACCACCACCACGCACGCACGCACGCACGCACGCACGCACGCACGCACGCACGCACGCACGCACGGCACGCACGCACGCACGCACGCACGCACGCACGCACGCACGCACGCGCACCACCACCCACTACGCACGCGCGCGCGGAGCCACAAGTCCGCCACGACACGCGTCCGCGGATAGAGAAAATCAGCGCCATGGTAAGGGATGGGAGGGAGGGGTAGGACGTCAGATATGACGCGAGCGCACCTAGCTCGTCGCCCCCCCCTCCCTCCCTCCCTCCCTCTCTCCCTCCTTTCTCGCCCTGCTCTCCCTCACTCCCCGCTCGCCCCGTCTCTCCCTCTCCCTCTCTCCCTCCCTCCCCCTCGCCTCCCTCCCTCCCTTCCCCGCTCCCCGCCGATGCTCAGACAATTCCCTCTGTGTCCAGCTAGCACATCCGATGGCGGAGCTTCCGACTGGCAAACGCTTGTGTGAGATAGCGATCATGGTGGCCGCTGGAGGCATGTGGGCTAAGCAGAGGAAGAAGGAGCAGCAGCTCAGGAATCAAGAGGGCACCGACCTCTGCGACAGATGCGGGCTCGCTCCAGAGTCACTCCCCCATCGGCACTGGCAATACGAGTGCAACGCGGGAGCTGCGCCATACGCGGACTCGGAAGAGCTGCGTTCGCAGGCCACCACACAATGTAACATGGCTGAGGCGATCTGATTGCGAGGCGTGCTGACAGCCCCGTGTCGTGAGCCCTCCTCCTGCGGCTGACGCGTGGCAGTACAGAGGTCATCCGGACCTTGCAGCAGGCATGTTTGGACCAGGCTCGCCTTCCGAGCCAGTGCTCATCTTCGGCGACGCGAGCGGGGGCCCAGACAGTCGCAGCCCAAAGCTCCGTCGTCGCGCTGGTTAAGCAGTCAGTTGTTTTCACAGCTTGCTCCGCTCCATCGAACCTCGTGGGTCAATGTTTGGTCGCCTCACCGGCAGAAGACAGGTCGTGGCCAGGGGAGAGCGCCTTTATTCTGTCCTGTGTCTCGGGGAGGTATGAGCGAAGATCTCTGCAGCCCAGGGGAAGGGATGCTGCTGCCATTGGCGAAACAACTTCTGGCCCCGAACCGACCGACGCCGCCTGCCACGCCCCAGCACCACCACCCTGGGAGCTCTGTTCTTGGGACCCCCACCCTGCAATTTATGGCCCGGAACTGACCGACGCCCCCTACCACGCTGCGGCGCCCCCACCTCCCGGGAGCTCTGTGTTGGGGATGGCGAGATCCCGTTTGGGTCTGCGTGTGGCCCCACTGTGCTGGCTCCCCCAGCAGCCCTCGAAAATGGCGACAGTTGCTCACTTCGCACCCCCGCTGGGATGGCGAGGTCCCGCTTGGGTCTGCGTGGGACCCCCACTGTGCTGGCTCCCCCAGCAACCTTCGAAAGTGGCGACAATTCCACAATGATCACCCCTCCAGGGATGATGAGGTCCCGCTTGGGTCTGCGTTGGACCCCCCTGCGCTGGCCCCCCCAGCAACCCTCGAAAGTGGCGACAATTGCTCACTTCGCAGCCCTCCAGGGAAGGCGAGATTCCGTTTGGGTCTGCGTGGGACCCCCTGCGCTGTCTCCCACAACTGCCCTCGAAAGTGGCGAGAACTTGACACTTCGCAGCCCCCAGGGAAGGCGAGGTTCCGTGTGGGTTTGCGTGGGCCCCACTGTGCTGGCCCCCCCAGCAGCCTTCGAAAGTGGCGACGCACCCCCCCCCCAGGGATGGCGAGGTCCCCTGGGTCTGCGTGGGACCCCTCTGTGCTGCCCCACCCCGCAGCCTTCGAAAATGGCGACTCTTTCACACTTCAAAGCCCCCGCTGGGATGGCGAGGTCCCGCTTGGGTCTGCGTGGGACCCCCACTGTGCTGGCTCCCCCAGCTGCCCTCGAAAGTGGCGACAGTTGCACACTTCGCAGCACACCAGGGATGGCGAGGTCTCGCTTGGGCCTGCGTGGGACCCCACTGCGCTGGCCCCCCCGGCAGGCATGCGAGAGGGGGACAGAGCCGGCTCCCCCAGCAGGCAGGCGAGAGGGGGGCAGAGGATGGAAGGAGAAAGAGAATGAGAAGGAGAAAGGAGTCGGCACCCCACTGCCCTATTCCAAACGAGAAAACCCAACGAGGGAGGGTTGGGGAAAACAAGCCATCATGTCATTGGCGAACGCCGCGGCAGGCAGGAGCGCTTCTCCTCTCGGGTCCGCCATGCCGTTGCGGCACCCACCGCGCAGCGGAGCTTCGAACCGATCGCACGCAACGTGCCCGGCGTGCCACGACCCAGCACAGCACCGCATGTCCTCAGGACGAAACTACACTCAGACTGGGCCGTCCGCCGCGGGGCGGGCACGGCATTCGCGCTTGTCGTCGAACTCCGCTGGCCGATCGCGGAGGCGCACGCCATCGCCCGCCCTGCCTTGGACGCTCACCTGCCCATGCCTGGCCACGCGGCAGCCCCCGCTGGATGGGGGCACCCTTGCAGCCTGCTGCGCGCGGGAACTCCCGATCGCACGCCATGCAGACCAAGGACCCCTCCCCCTCGCTCAGACTATGTGCGTACGCTCGAAGGCGTCGCCCATCGATCGCCGACGCCGCGAGCGGCGCCCCCTGTCGCGCCTTCCACGCAATCTCTTCATTGTACGCCAGCGCGTACTGAGCGCTTTTTTGGGCCTCGTCGGCCTCCACGCCAGAAAGGCCCGATGCAGCGCTCGCCAATCTCCCGCGTGCTTCTCCCCGGTACGCGGGCGCACAACGCTGACTCCGTCGCGCCATGCCACGGGCAATCCTGGAACGCGCAATGTTTTGCAGCCAACACCACAGCACCATGCGACTGAATGCCTCCACAAGCGCCGCGCGCGCTGTGCGCGGGCACTGTGGGCTCGTCTATCAGCTGCTTGGCAATCCGCATCACATTCTCCCCCCGTGCCGCGCGCGGATCTTCCGACGCGCCACTGGCGACGTGCGCTGCTCCGCTCCTTTCCGTCGCGTCAGCCCCGGCGTCCACCTCCATGACTCCCTCCGTTCGACGTGGCTCCGAGCTGCTGGCGGCGGCGCCACTCCCCGCGTTGGCACCGCCCTCCTCCTCGGTGGACGACGGCACCGTTCGGGCGGCCGTATCCCTTCGTTGCCCCCGCGCCTTCCAGCCGGCGGGGCTCCCCCCCTCTCTCTCTCTCTGCCAGCCGCGGGGGCGCCGGCTCCGGGTGCGCTGGTGGGAGGGGGGGGAGCAGCCCTGCCCGTCCGCAAGTTCCCCGCGTCGCCTGCTGCCTCCAGCGCGCGCGGGCGGCGTCCCCAGGGGCCCACCCCGCCCCGCCCTTTTGCCCCCCAGGGCCCCCTTCGGCTGCAGCCTCGCCCGCCCGCGGCGCGCCCCTGCAACCGTGGCCCGCGCGCGCCCTTCGCCGCCGACCCAGCTCCCGCCTCCGCGCCCTGGGCCGGGCCACCCCCGCCCAGGCCGCGCGGCCCCCTGCAGCCGGACTCGATTGGAAAGGGCGCGCGAGGGGACACAAGACCCTTCCGAGGGCCACGTCGCCTCCGAACTGCGAGAGGCATGGGATGCAGGACGCAGGACACGAAGGTGCCCTTGATCTGGCAGGGTCGACCTACTAATCCGGGCCGCCTGTGGACCCCTCCGCGCCGTCGTCGACATGCGGCTGTCCTTGTGCGCGGCGCCGTGCCGGCTGATGCGACGCGCTCGTGATCTCCGCCGACGTCGCACGGTGCAGTTGGAGAAGCGCCGCTGCGCGCTCGTCGACCATCGGCTCACCCGACGGCGCCCGACCCAGAGCGGTGCACTCGCCCTCCAGTTCCGCTCAGGTTAACCGCACATCCGCCCCGGCCTCCGCGCCGATGTGGCCGTCGAATCGGGCGCACACGCGCACTGCAACGTCCCTCGAGAGCGACGCCCCTGCGCGGCCGCACCGACGCGTGACAAACCTCAGCACCTCCCCCGCCCCGCGCGCACCGCGTGCCGCGTGTTCCCTCCGTGCGTGCCAAGATTCAGCCACGCACCCCCATGTGTTGCGCAAGTGCTCCAGGCACGCCATGCATGCGGCGCGTCGCTCTTGCTCGCAATCCAACGTCTCCGCGCAGAGACGTTGGAGTGCGAGCAACGTTGGATTCACAACGTTGGACAACGCTGGATTCATCACGTTCGATGCATAACGCAATCTCAACGTTGCTCTTGCTTGCCCGCGGGAGAACCTGCAACAAGCTGCCTGCATGGCTTACGCCAGCGCCATGTCCATGCCCTGGGCCGACGACGACGCCCATGTCGTCGAGCTCCGCGCGTCGAGCCTCGTCCGTCCTGGCCTCGGGAAAACACGACGGCGCCCACCAGCAACAGCTCCATGCACTTGACGGCGTGCGCCTCCACGACGCGGCGCCAGCCCACTCCCTCCGACACTTCGCGCAGGTCGCCCCAAGCGCACTCCCACCCCGCCCACGCCCCTCTGGGCGCCCGGAATGGGTACGGAAAGAATGGGCAGAATGCCCAGCAGCAGTTCCGGTTCATTTTGAACAGGATCCGCTGCCCACGCCGCCGCGGTCAGAAGGCAAGTCGAGTCGGAAGGCCGCCTGCCCGACGGCGGCCGCTGTTGGTTTGGGGCAACGTTTGCTATTAGGCATTGTGCCCATTTTGTCCGTGCCCGTTTCGGGCGTCCAAAGGCCTCACCCATGTCTCGGCGAGCACCCGCTTGCTGGCCATCGCTCGGACGTCCATTCCCTGTGTTTTTTTCGGCTTCGTGCGTGGTTTTTCGCCAGCTGATCAAGGATGCTCCTCGATGGTCCTCGCCGAAGGAAAAATGCACGCGTCCGAGCGATGCCAAGCTTGATGGCCGCGGAGTCGCCCCCCCCCCTCCCCACAGATTGCCGACCGGCTCCGGCGGCGCAAACCCGCGCCCCCCCGTGCAGATATCGCACGCACCTGGCGCCCACGCTCGCCCCGCCACCTGCTCCGAGCGCGAACATCAAAAATGGGCGTCGCGGAGAGCTCGCGGACAGGCGCCAGGAGGTCGCCTGGCAGGATGCGAACCGCGGGCGCCCCGCCACTCTTCGCTTTGCCGCCTGACCCGACGTCGGCCGCAGCCCTCTCGCCGCGGCCCCTTCCCCCGAAGCCCCCACGCTCGCCTGCGCGCCCCTTCCGCCGCGGCCGACGCTTCCACGCGGGTAGAACTGCATCAACGCGTGCACCGACGAGCCGGTCCGGTTTTCCACGCACCCGCGTCTGAAGGCGGCGAGCTCGGCCACGCCGCGCCGTCATCCCGCATCTCCCATTGCGCTCCGACGCCATCCTCGGCTCGGCAGCACGCGGCATTGTGGCCCAGGTGGTATCCTTCGCCGTGGTGGAACACGCTGCTCACATGCGCGTACCGCTGCCCGCTCTCTTCACTCGGCACGATCGCATGCGGGACCTTCAGTACCCTCCGCGACACTGGGTCGCAGGCCTGCGCGATCCGCTGCGCCCACAGACACTGGGGGCTCCTCGTGGGAAGCCGTTCCTTCTCCGCATGCCGGCAGCCGCACCCGCTCGGGCATGCCCACCGGAAGTCTGCATCCACACCTCCCCGCAACAATTCCCGTCTACGGCGTCTTGCACCGTGCTCGCCGCGGACACCACAGTCTCAGGATCATTTACGAGGGTTTCATCCCGAAAGTCCTCAGCAAGGCCGAGAAGGCTCAGCGAGGCCGAGGTGAATTCGGCATCGGTACACCTGCTCCTCGCCGATGCTCTCTCCTCCCCTCCCTTCCTCTTCCCCCCTCGCCCCTCCCCCTCCCTCCTCTCCCTCCCCCTTCCCGACGGCGCCAAGCCCGACTGGCTGCGATCCAGGAGGCGAAGGTGCAGCGCAAGGCGCCGTGGAGAGTGAGTTTCTCCTTCGCCATTGCTCCCCCCCCCGTTTTCCCACCCCCCTTTCCCCCCCTCCTCCCGTTCCCTGGCTTCACAGAGGTATCCGGTCACACAGAACGAGCTCACCCCTTCTGTCCCTCGTGCTTGCGCTCCACTGCGGCTGGCTCCCCGCGCGGGGGGCGCACCTGGAAGCGGGGGAAAGAGGCGGGTGGCAGGGGACTGCAATGGGGCGGAGAAGTTGCCGGTGGAATGTCAGACGCACCGTGAGCGAGTTCGTGGCTTTGGGCGCGGGTCGCTCGAGCTCTACCCGTGCAAGACGACAGCCCACCCCTGCTCTGGCCAGCACGGTCCGCATGGTCTGCTGGAGTGGGTAACGCGGGATGACGATTGATAAAAAAATGGGAGGGAACGATTAAACACATAGTTTTCTGCTATTTCTCCACAACTTTCTGACTGGAGGCGAACTATTCAAAAATAGTTTTCCAGCCCGCGGCCGGTTTTTTCTAATCGTCGTCTTGGGCGCCGCAGCGTGAACACGACCCCCGGTCATTTAGTAATCGTCATCCTCCACTACTGGGACCCCCGCCGTGGGCTGCTGGAATCAGCCCCTCGTAAAAACTGTGTGCTGGAACCCACCCGTCGTGTCGGCATACGCTGCTGGAGCCAGCATTCACGATCAAGCCTTGGGCGCTGGAACCTCACCCCGCTCAGGGCCTCAAGACATACTGACAGGGGGGGGGGGGTGCGCTGCGACTCTGGGGGCGGAGGCCGGGGGGCCTGGGGCCCTCGCGCTGTAGTCACGCCTCGCTCTCAAACCGGGGTAGTTCGCGTGCGCGTGCATGCGTGTGCGTGCTCGTGCGCGTGCGCGCGCGCGCGTGCGCGTGCGTGCGCTTGTGCGCTTGCGCTTGTGCGCGTGCACAGGCCCGGGCGTCGGTCCGAGCCCGAGCGCGGGCCCGAGCCCAGGCCCGAGCGCGAGCTTGAGCAGGAGCCCGAGCCCGAGCCCGATCCAGAGCGCGTGCGCATGCGCGTGCGTGTGCGCGCGCGAATGCGTGCGTGCGTGTACGCTTCCGATGTGCTGACCCGCGACCGCACGTCGTGCTACTCACAAAATGTAGCTGACTGGATAATGGGGAATGGGGGCAGGGGGCGGGCGGGGGGAGAAGGCGGGTGTGCGGGCATCTTCGAGGGCGCGTGATGTTCGGAAGTGCCCGACGGTCTTGGAATCTGATCGAAGATCGAAGGTCGGAGACACTCGACTTTCGAAGAGTCTGGCCCCCTCCCCCGCCTCCTGCATCATCCCTTCATATCATCTTGACATGGTATGGCCATGTGCTTTTCACGGCACACGTCTGCCGACAGTTCTCAAACGGCTGGGATGACTCCTGTCACTGTGGCGATATCTCTGCCAATCTCCAGGCTCTTACTGCATCATTCCGTCAGGCAACGAATACATGTAGCCAATCACCAAACATATGCTGAGCAGGTCCATTTTCTTTATGGCTGCCCAGCCTGAGCAATAACACATGCCACGAACATATGAATGCTGACCGAGGTTGGGCCCTCTGATGCGACAAACGCCTTTTTGCAAGTGGAAAAGCCAGATTAACAAGGACAGCTCAGTTCACAAGAGGGAAGCGAAAAAAAGCCGCGCGCATTCGGCGCCGCGGCAAAATCTCCAGTCGGCGTCATTACCGTGGTGTGGACAGCAGCACACCAGAGCCGTGCCCCAGAAAGCTCTTCAAGCATAGCGAAAGGGATCAGACCACCTGAAGTGACACGGGCGCACGCACGTGACGGCGTGCCCAAGGGAAAACGTGTGTGGCATCTGCTCCTGCTGGCCTTGCCACTTTAGAATCGGCTTCGGCGATTAAACTCATCGTTGGACGGGCGCTGCGAAGGACTACAGTCAAAACTGATGTAAAGATCCACGCTGCGGATGCAAGCCCCTTGGACGCCCGTGTTGCAGCTTCTTCGAGCGCGGCGGGCCATCGAAAGTTGCCAAGGATGGACCAAAGAGGCACGCATGCGAGGGTACCCTTGGGGCATGTTGCCTATCCTTTCCATCGGCTTCGACTGTGTGCTCCTGCTGGCACTGCCAGCTTAGAACCTTTTCGGCGATTAAACCCATCATTGGCCGGGCCCCGCGACAGGGCCAGCCCGAAGGTCTTGGTTGGATGGCGGCGGTGGACGCTCCGCCCCCCCCCCCCCACAGCGCTCGAAAGTTGCGATTGTTTCGTAGATCGCCGACCCCCCCCCCAGGATGGCGAGGTCGAGACTGAATATGCGGCTGGTGCCCACCATGCTGGCCGCCCAGGCACCCCTCAGCCGTGGCAGCAGCTCCGTAGATCGCCGACCCCCCCCAGGGCTGGCGAGGCCTAATCTGAAGCTGCGCCTGGTACCCACGATGCTGTCCCCCAAACAACCCTCGAAAGTGGCGACAGTTTCGCAGTTCGCACCCCCCCAAGGCTGGCGAGGTCCAATTTGAATCTGCGCCCGGTACCCACCATGCTGCCCCCCCTTCCCCCCCAGCAGCCCTCGAAAGTGGCGACCGTTTCGCAGATCGCAGCCCCCCGAGGGATGGGGTGAGGTCAAGTAGGACGGCGAGGTGGGAGCCAGGCTGGCAGACAGGACAGGAGAGGCTGGCTGGCAAGAAGAACTGGAGAGGAGGAGGTGAGAGGCAGAAAGGGAACAGAGGAGGGAGGAGGCTGGAGGAGTGTGCGACCGCAGTGCTCTACTCGAAAAGGAGAGGAGGAGGAAGAGGAGGAGGAGGAGGATAAGGCCAGAAGAGGAGGATGCGGGCAGGAAGCACGGAGTGGAGACCGCAGTGCCCGATCCAAAACGAGAACCCAACACAGGAAGGCTGGGAGCACACTCGACGTCGGAGGTCCTGGCCTCCTGCCTCCGGGGCCGAGCCTGGGACCCGTCTGGGGGCGCGGGCTTACCGTAACCCCACCAGCCTTTCGGGCTAAGGTGGTCGAGCGAGTTCTTGCGCTCCTCCTCCAAACACCGCTTCCTTTCCGGGAGGTTTGCCTCCGCCCCGCTCGCTGAGGTGTTTTTTGTTGGGGGGGGGCGGGATCGGGCAGATCGCCCAAGAGGGCCCAATATTGCTCAAAGAGGGCCTCCGATGCTCCCATATGGCCTCCAAGATGGCTCAAGATAGCCGGCGATGGTTCAAGATAGCTTACGACATGGCTCCAAGAGGCCCGACGAGGGCCACAAGATGGTTCCCAATGCTCTCGGACTCCCCCAGGACCCCCCCCAGAGGCCAACATCATTCAACAACCTGGGAAACCCATGATGTTTGCCGTATCGCCGCTTCGCTTGCGATGCGCTGTTGAGGCCTCACGATGGCCCCAAGAGAGGCACAAGAGGTGCTCAAGAGGTCGCCCAGGCAGCCCCTAGAGCTCCTAAGATCGGCCCCTGAGCGCCACAAGCACGCCGCAAGAGGCGATTTTAAGCCCCTGGGGGAGGGCAACATTGAGGACCCCCCCTTCTTTAATCGATCGCCTCCAAGATGGCCCCAAGAGGCCCAGGAGGGCCCCAAATAACCCAAAAGGGCCCCAAGAGGGACCCATGACCCTCCATAAGATCCCCAAGAGGACTCCAAGATACACCAAAAGAGACCCAAGAGGGCTCAAAGAGGCGATTTTGAGGGCTCTGGCCTGGTCTTCGTTGTCCTCCTCTTCCTTCTCCTCCTCGTCATCATCCTTACCCTCATCGTTTCCTTTTTCCAATTGCTCTTCTTTCTCGTCGTCGTGGTGGTCGTGGTCGTGGTCGTGGTCGTGGTCGTGGTAGTGGTCGTGGTCGTGGTCGTGGTCGTGGTCGTGGTCGTGGTCGTCTTCGTTTTCCACCTCCTCCTCTTTGGACACCCGAAATGGGTACCGAAATACTGGGTACAATGCCCAACAACACATGTTGTCCCAAACCAACAGCGGCCGCTGTTGGGCAGGCGGCCTTCTGTCTCGAATGGACACAGGCCGCGGCGGCGTGGACAGCGAATCCTGTTCAGAATGAACAAGAACTGCTGTTGGGCATCGTACCCATTCTTTCCGTGCCCATCTCGGGCGTCCAGATCCTCCTTTTCCTCCTCCTCCTTCCATCGTCCCCACACGGGCCCCAGGAATGGCCCGAAGAGGCCCTCCAATGCCACCCCTTTGCTCCGAGATCAGTGTTCGCTCTGGTTGCCCGCCTTGTTTCACGAGATGTGTCTCTTCGTCTCTTTTCCCGTCAGCTCTCATCGGTCGAGTTTCTAAGTGGGCTGGTGGGGATATTTTTTTTGCGTCGCAACCGCAGGCGAGAGCGCCAGCGGCGAGTAAGGTCCGAGCGGGCCGCGCAATAGCCAAATTGCCTAACGCCGACGGGCCGGCGACCTAAGCAGCACCTCGGCGGGCGGGCCGGCGTGAGGGGGGGTGCGGGCTGCAGCTGCCAGGTACCAGGCCCAGGAGCGCGCACATGCACGATTAACCAACCAGGGTTGGGGCACAGCCAACATGGCGCGGGGGTGGTACCAGGATGTGGCCAGGAAGACCACCACTAGTACACTGCAACAGCTACCAGGAGACCATACTGGCCAAAAACACTGGTGGGGATACTTTTTTGTCGCAGCCGCAGGCGAAGGCGCCAGCGGCGAGTCGACTCGGCTCGGGCTACGAGCGGAACTAATTGCCAGCGCGCGCGCGGAGCGAAGGAGGACCTACCGCCGGGGGAAGCAGCTGCGCCGAAGCTGTGCAGAAGCGCTGGGGGTGGGGACTGCAAGCTGCTGGGGCGGCCAGGAAGCTGCAAACGTGCGAGTGCCATGGGAGCTGGATCACCAGGTATGCGAATTAACCAACCAGACTGGTGGGGATAATTTTTTTGCAGCCGCAGGCGGAAGCGCCGGCGGCGGCGGGTCACGGTCGGGCTGCGGCCGTGACGAATTAGCCGGGCGCGCGCGGGGGCCGCGGATCAGGCGGCGGTGCAAACTGCAGCCCAGGGAGTCTGAAGGGAACAACCACCCAGGAAGCAGGGAGGACGCAGCCAAAATGGCGCGACGCACATCCCCAGTCATGGATCGTGTCGGTCCGACAATCACATGGTAGTGGGAATCAGTCTCCGTGCAAGAAAGTTGTCAGAGAGCCCAGGGTGTCTGTCGGGTATGAGCGAGACCGTAGGCGAAAGAGCTGACGTCGTCCAGCAGGGAGAAGAGTTTCTGACAGCGCCAGCGAGCCGTCGCAGCTTCAGAGAACGCATCCAGCGGCTGACAGGGCACGCCTGAAGTCATAGACAACCGGAGTCAACCTCAGAACAACTGCGGAGGGATGCGTCTGCACGCGAGAGATCAACGACATGATGTGACGCAGTGCGGGGGTACACCTGCTCCCGACCTTGAGAGAGAGACACGTCGGCCAATCGAGGGTGACGGGGCGTGTGCCAGGAAGCAACTAAGTGACAAACAAAGAGCGGCTCTCCACCCACGCAGAGGGGCCAGTAAGAGGAACAGGCGCTCAGAGAAAGCTACGCTGCCGCATACCCACTGCAGCACAAGCAATCCGTAGTCACGAAGTCCCAGGGAGTGGCCGCTCAACCAGGTTGAGCGTGGGAGCGACGATGGGGTGACGTCAGTGCGCACAGACCCTCGCGGCGAGCGGTGCACCACTAGCCACTGAATAGCACGCCTGGGCCAACCGCTGCAAGGCTGTGAAGTCATGTGCGGGAGCACGCCTGCGACTCAGTCAGAGTACGGTTTCAGCGGACCGGGCGGGAATTCCGCCGTCGCGGCGGGGCGACCCACGTCACAAGATCGCCTGAACAACGTGAGACCCACTGACGATGAGTCCACGCCCAGGGTCGCTCCCAGGGAAGGTGGAGAAGCGCGGCTGAAGGCCGAAGTAACTTGGGGAAACCCAGGGAGTAGAAGCGCGGTTCTGGGTGTGACGAGGCGAAGCCACCATTGCGTCGGACGCAGAGCCGCGGGCCGGGACGAGCCTGGCAAGGTGAAAACAGCTACAGCGGGGCCTGGGGCCACTATGACCACACGCAACACGTGGTGTTGTAATGCAGACGGCATTGCTGGTACACACACTTGGGTCCAAAGGCAGGAAGTGCACGTACCAGGGAGGGCGGCGGGATGCCGCCAAGCGAGTCTGGTGTCCGAGGAGCAGCTGAAGGCTGCTGTTCTTGAGAGAGAAACCCAAGGATTATAAGCGCGACTCGGGACTGAGACGTGGCGGAACACTTCCGTCGGTCACGAAGCCGCGCGGCCGGGGGCGGATCCGCCCGGGCCAGAAGTGAGAACAACTACAGCGGGGCCAGGGGCCAACTAGGGTCTGCACGCAGCACTCCCCCGCGCTGCAATGCAGATGGTATTGCTGGTCGACACGCTTGGGTCCAAAGGCAGGAAGTGCGTGTGCCAGGGAGGGAGGCAGCACGGCTGCCACACGGGTTGAGAGAGCACCGGGAGGCAGCTGAAGGCTGCGCGAAGTGTGAAGCACGGTCGATATACCTGTCCCTTTAGGTGATGGGATGGGTGGGAGGGGAGCTCAATCGCCCCATCGTTGCCTTTTTCTCCCCACGTTCGTCGGGCCTGCCTCCACCACGCTTGCCTCCCGACTGCCAACGGTCGTCGTGCCAGCCAGCGCTCCAGTCACTCTACCAGGTGCCCCAGGCGTCCCAGGAGCTTGTCGCCCGCTCGCGCCAGCTGCTCTGCTGGTGGTTGCCCTTGCCCGTGCCATCGGGCCGTGTGTGGCGCAGGTACTCGGCCCGCACTGTTGCCCAATCGATGCGGAAGTTGAACCTCCTGTCCATCAAGTAGGCGTTGTATCCGCAAACCTTCCAGTCCTCCAAAAACTTGTTGATGGTCGCGTCCGAGTGCAGCCTCGGGTCTGACTTGGGTTCCCTGGACCCAGGGAGCCGAATGCCTTGTGTGTAGGCCGT